CTGGGCCTCAGAGCACAGCCTGTTGCAGTCTGACCCTTAACTATATCAACATTGGCCCTGGCCTTAGCACAGACACACTGCTCTCCCTTGTGGAGCATATGCAAACGCTAAGCAGCAAAGGGGATGTCAGTGAGCAAACCCTGCTGAGGCATAGATTTGACCACAGGGAAATCAATCCCTATACAGACCTTTTAGACATCAGGGGAAAAAAACAATAATTTTGTTCTTTAATAGTAAAGAAAAATATAGTTTTTTAGCTAGTTCTACAGGGTAGGAGCTTTAAACCACAATTCAGTCCCACATATGCTAAGGGACACAAGTGTGTAAGCTCCTTTTATAGTTAGACCCAGCCTAGTAGGCAGCATGGAAAGGCTGTTCCAAATTCCATCCCCTCTGTCATTCTGAACCACACTCAACACCCAAGGACAAAACTGGAGAAAATCATACATTTTTTTCCACATGGCTTAAGGGTCACTCCCCACCTTCTGGTCTCAGTTTGTCAATTAAATAAACTCTAGCCATAGTTTTATAGTCCTGGTATTTATACTACAGCTTCAATGTAAAAAGGCCACAGGTTTAATTTATAACAAAAAAGAAACAACGCCCTTATTACAAATAAAATATGCCATCCTCTTAGACTGAAGCAGAAAAAATACTCAGTGAAATCACTGCAGCCACAAAGGTTAAGAAGGTAATGAGAAAAGCTTGTGTTTGGAACACTGTCCTCAGGAATCGCATATACTCAGGAAGTCAAGTAGGAAAAGCAAAGCTTTAGTAACCTGCCCTATCAGATTAGGAGCAGTGAAAGAATAAAAACAAAGGAAGAGATTTTCTTAAGAGAAAACTGACATACTGGAAAACAGGTAGAGGCAGATCTGCATGGCCCTGGAGGCTCATTTCCTTCCCACTTTCTGTAGCCTAGCAAAGAGCTGGCTCCTCTCTATGGGTCTTCCTTTAAAAGGCTTACCCACAAGAAGTCTCTCTTCTCTACAACACTGCAACTTCCCTGATTGGGAGCTTGTACTGTTCCAGTCACAGATGTTCCCTGTCCTCCTTTCCCAAAAATATTTACAGTATTACAAAGGTTACAGCCCAGCTATGCCTAGCCTAAGCACACCTCACTTACTGATTAAAAAAAAAGCTTGGAGGGCCGGCCCGGTGGCACACTGCTGTAGTGTGCCGCTTGGGAAGCGCGGTGGCGCTCCCGCCGAGGGTTCGGATCCCATGTACAGACCGGCCGCTCGCTGGCTGAGCGAGGGGCGGGAGCAATGCCGAGGGTTGCGATCCCGTGGCCGTCCCGGTCCGGTACGGGCGCGACACTGAGGGTTGCGATCCGTTGCCGGTCACGAAAAAAGACAAAAAGGAAAAAAAAAAAAAAGCTTGGAGAATCAGGTTCATTCTGATACTTTTCTGCTTGTATATTTTTCTCTAGTAAACCCTAGTTAGTACTTAACACCACATGGCACTAGCAGCATGTGAACGTATCTTTGCCCTCTTTGCACAACAGGGATAGACAGGTACTAAAGGGAAAATGAGATACTAAAGGCCAAGTTAAACATCAAACAAAAAAGGAAATACATTCAGATCTAACTGCTATTAAAGAGGATTTTGGGAAAGAGGGCAGCATCTTAATTGTTACTAAGTAGAAAGAACTCTTGGGTTCCAAAGAAACTAAAAAAGGCAAGCTCTCTGGAGAAACTGGAAAAACTTCCCCAGAAGTTCCCAGAGAGGACTCGGGTTCAGGAACCTATTGGGAGATGGCTTCTTAGAAATGCAGAGAGGGGCCAGCCCATGGCTCACTCGGGAGTGTGTGGTGCTGATAACACCAAGGCCCTGGGTTCGGATCCCATATAGGGATGGCTGGTTGGCTCATTGGGTGAGCATGGTGCTGACAACACCAAGTCAAGGGTTAAGATCCCCTTACCGGTCATCTTTTAAAAAAAAAAAGAAAGAAAAAGAAATGCAGAGAGAAGTCAAGAGGAGTTGCAGACCATCTCTTCAAATTGGGCCAGCTATACTAAGGGGTTATAGAAAATCTGGAGAAAATACTCGGAGAAGTACTAGTTGAGTCACCAGTGACAGGGTTTTAAACGGGACACAGATTTTGCCTATGTTAACTCCACGAGGGAGAGATTTTTATTTATTACCTAAAACAGTGTCTGACCCCATAACTCAGTATTTCTTGAACGAATGGACTATTAAAGGGGATCCTGGCAGGGCAATGATAGGATAAAATCTGGCTGGGTAAAATGTTATGATGGGACAATACTTCCTGGTAATAGTATCCAGTTCAGGATGGTGCACATGAGCAAGATTACTTTGAATATTTGATGCTTTTGGCAAATAAAGAACTTTTAAAATTCATCTCTCACATAATGGAGACACCCAACTCCAAGACAAAATCCAAAAAACAATTAGAAAAACAAGTCTGGGTCAGAAAGCCAAAGGAAGAAGGAAGTCACATCCAACAAACAGTTCATTTCTACGTAGAGAAAAGGTAGGACCAATTTAAGAAGCAGGGAAAGTGTTAAAAACTTAATCAGTCTCTGGAAAAGAGTAGGGGAAGAGCAGAGAAAACATGCCATGCCAAAGAGATGTGTCTGACAGAAATGCTTCTCCTTGTCTGAGAAGCTGAGGAAAGTATCTTCAGGAACACATGGCAGAGGTCTTTAATCTCACTGAGCCTCTAGGGAACAAACTTTAGAAGCAAGACAGCTTCACCTCAAAAAACTGCCAAGTTTTGATTCTCAACTGAAACACACATGAAGTAAAGGAATCCTGTTCCCTTTTCCCCCCTCTAAAAGGCAGACATCCCGGGCCTGAGCAACTCCACAGCAGAAGGCAGTAGACACTGAGAATGCCTGTTTATAAGGAGCTCAGGAAGCTATATCATTAGAGCCCACCCTTCAATGCACCCCAAGGTGTACTGAAATTAAGAAATCTGAATATAATGGATAAGAAAGAAACGCACCTCAAAGAATATCTGGTTGGGGCTGCCAATAATTAAACTTAACACTGCAAGAAGGCAGCACTGTCTTCAATACCACTGTCTACAGACAAGACTATAGATACAGGTAGATGCCCCTCCAGATACAATGAACACAGATTATAATTAACCTCTTAATGGGTGACTTTCTCGACTGAGTTTAGATTCACAAGCTGGAGACTCTGAACAACTGGCATAGCACTTAAGACCCAGTGAAACTGAGTCAAGATTTTCTCAGCCCACTCACCTTCCCTTAGATATCATCAAGTTAGGGTCTTTGACACAGCAGGTCCTGGTTTCTAAGGATGAATTTTGCCTAACTGCTAGGAGCTGGAGATTGGCCTGCTTTCTAAATTTTGTGGACGTGGGGAAATACTGTGATAATTATATATGTCTTGCTAACTATTTAGATTCTTTTTGTTGTTGCTGTTTTTTCAAATGGGACTAATAAGAGACTTGGCAATGAATTTGGGTAGCACAGAGTTAGAAGGAAGGCACATTTGGTTCTCACACTAAGCTGTGTTCTCCAAAAGCTCTATCAGTTATTAATTAAGCAAATTTGGTTTCCACCTGCCTGCCATTCCTCTCTTTGTTAGTTGTGAACCTGAGTTCAGAAACAGGGTGTCACTTATTGGGTCTCCTCCTAAAACCACAAAATATGCCCTTATTTACATTATATAGATTTGTAGAGAAAGTTCAAAGCAATTGCAAAATATGGAACTAAAAAGTCTTCTACTGTGTGTATAAAACAGAGAGTGAGAGACAGAGAGAAAGAACAGTTAATGACCATGGCCTAAAGACCAGCAAAGACCTTACAGTCCAAAGGCACATTAATGAAAATGAAGGTGAAAAAAAAAATTGGACCTGGTGCATCTGGGAAATAAGACTAAAACCAGAAGTCTGGACAGTGGTATACGGTAAGTTTACTCTCATCCTGTGAAGGCAGAAATGGATACATGCCTTCACCAGCCAGAGAGATGAGAATTGGATTTTCCTGAGGAAGATACCCTGTGCAAGCAGGTTAACAGCACTGTAGAGTCCTCCTTCCAACATTCCAGGAGTGCAACAACCCGGGTGCGCAGACACTGCAGTCAGTTAAACGAGCAAATGTTTTTAAATTGATGACAGTTATCATTTTCACTCTTCTCGGTCTCAGCGATTTCCTCCAAGAAAACATTTTTGCCACCCTTATTCAACCTGCCACGAGGTTTCTGGTCACACCTGCCACAACTGATTCCTCTCCATTCCTGTCACTATCCTCTCCATACATCACACTACACACCAGGAATGCCTCCAGTTCTCACCTCCTCACTTTGGACTGCCTCAACTGACTTCAGGTAATCCACCCCACGCCCAAATTCCTTAATGACACGTTCAAGGCCGTTAAGATTTATTTCCCTGACGCCCTATATACACCTGGGCTCCAGCCAAGGATCCTCCTTCACCAACCGCGACATTAGCTACGCTCCTTCGTGTCTGTGTCGCTCCGAGCTCAAAAGACTTTCAATAGCTGCCTGTGCCCTCGCGATAGAGGGGCACAAGTTCTTTGCCGATGTCCCCGCTGGCGGGCACTGCCTCCTGCCAGGCTGCCACCCTGAACAGCTCATCCCGTCCTCTCTCCGTTCAGCCTCCCGCGTTGTGCTGGGCCAGTACGACAGCCTGGCACACCTCCCGCCGGAGGGCGCCCAAGCCGTCCTCGCAGGGGCGGTTCCTACAAGCTAAGTTCCACTGCTCAGGACGGCTTCACCCTCTCGTCCGGTCCAGGGCAAATACTAGAGAAAAAGAAGGATCATCGGAAGATCGACCCTCCTGCGGCAAGCTGTCCCTGCCCTGGGCCCAGACCAGTGCCGCAGCGCGGCAGCCAGACAGCAGTCACCACACCCAACCTCACTTCGCTTCCTCGGCCCCGGCCTAATGGCTGCTTGCAACCGCGCGAGGACCCCAAGGAGGGCTGCCCGGCCGAAAGCCTGAAGGACCCCGTTAAGGCTGCGCAGGCTAACTAGCGCAGTGCCTGGTGGCCAGAAGCCGCGGCCGGAGGATCAGGTGAATGTGGACCTGAACTCTAGCTGGTCTGGGGCTCCGAATAGCCTAGAATCTGGGGTGGGCTTAGACCCCGGGTACGAGAGGTGGGAGTTGCACGGCTGCAGGCCTAGGGGTGGCGGGGCGCCGGGACAAGAGCTGAGGCCGCGAGCCTAGCGGACTGGAGGGCGTGGTCATAGGTGGGGGGCGGAGGTGGAGTTGAGGGGGCTGCAGGTCGCGGCCGCGCATGAGAAGACAAGGGACTTGGCAGTCACCCTCCAGGAATCGGAGTGGTGGTACCCTCAGGTGTGGGGAAGCAAATGTCTAGGCATCTTTTAAAATTTGTAATTCTCTGATGGAGTGACTATTAAGTTGAGCGAGTTTCCGGACTTGTCAATATTTGCTGTAAACCGAGAGCCAAGACAGCCATAACTTAGCTGCCTTAAGGAAAGGAACCACATCCTCTCTACAGGCCGCGTGTCCTCCCCTGGAGAGCACCTAGCAGACTGGCCTTGAAGCAGCTGGATCAGATTTATTCATTGATTAATTTCACAAATACTGTGGAGAGCCAGCTGTGTGCTAAGGCACTCCGCATAGACACAGGCTATGATGGTGAGCAAAAACAGACCCCTGCTTCCATGGAGCTGACCTTCTAGTGGGGAAGACGTAACTGAAGGGAACCTACAAGGAGCCGAGAGAAAGTATAACAGGGGAATTGAGTTAAGATCTAGTGAGTCAGTAGGAAGTAACCAGAGGAAGCACATTCTGGACTGCAAAAACTCATGCAAGGGCTGTCAGGCCAGAAGGTCTTTTGTAACCGAAAGGTCCATGAGGCTGGAGCAAAAGAAAGTTCAGGAATGTAGGATTCCAGATGAGGCTAGAGAGGCTCACAGGGACAACCAGATCACGCAAAGCCTGGTAGACCAAGATAAGGATTTTGATTTTTATTGTAAGAGCAGAGTTCACTTTAAAGGGTTAAAGAGGGGAATAATATGGTTAGACCCACATTTTTAGTTCACTCTGGCTGCTGTGTGGAGAAGATTGTAGAGGGTGGAAGGAGTAGAAACTCGGAGACCAGTGAGGAGGCTGTTTCAGAAATCCAGGGAAGAATGATTGTGGCTTAGACTGGGGTGGTAGCAGTTGATAGAGAATTGTACGGGTTTTGAGATATAGGAGTAAGCAAAATTGCCAGAACTTGGTGATAGTATGGATATGGCGGGGGGGTGGGGGGGGTGGGGGATGTCTCCATAGATGAAGGTTCTGGATTACTCAGCACCAGGCATATTAGAGAGAGGGGGGTTGCT